CATGGCACCTGATCCCACCTCTGATGTTTCAGGGGTCCGTGTTTGCTCTGCCCTTATTTTGTATTGTTTTAGGGACTTTGAAATTGAATACTGTTCGTTATCTCTATATCCTTCTTCCATACAGATGTATATGTAAGTTTAAATGTAAAGAGCTAAGGGACTTGAATTTATATAGTTAAAAAATGTTGCTTTCTTGCTTCTATGCTATGTTTTTTGACTTGTAAAAAATTCAAAGTTTATACTGGTAGTAATCAGAAAAACCTTTGAATAATTAAAAAACACCCAAAAATATGATAATAAATTTATGCTCCTCAATAAATCAATATTCATTGGGATTATACAAGCCAAAAATAAATCCATACCAGATACATTGATAGTGATGCTGCTATTAAGATATGCAATTAAATATATATTGGAAAGGAATAAAATACATAAAAAAACTCCTCCCAATTGCATTTGAAAGTATGAAAAATATCAGGAGACGCGTATATAAGGTTTTATTGTATAAAAAAGTAGGGGGTCAAAAATTCTATGGGGGTCATTTTTCAACGTGTGTGGAGTCGTAGAATTGCTGGTCTGGAATGTTTTTCTACAGTCGAAAAATGACCCCACTTGTCATAGAATATTGACCCGGGGTCATTTTTCTACGTAGAAAAATGACCCCCTGGTCAATATTCTACGGGGGTCACTTTTCGTCGTTACACCGGCCGCACAGTGTTTCACAAACACATCTTGTCCAATACAAAAAAAGACTTCCTGATCAACATGACCAATTCGAATATGTGATACATATTGACATTGTATTGTATCTCAAATATCAGGATAGATACATATATGCCTTCTGAAAAAATTATATATGTGTTTAAAGCCTTAAGTACAATCTAGATTCTACTCATAAACCAGTGTAGCGGACAGTATATAGGGAACTTATACTGCCTCGCCAGTGAGCTAGCTTTTCTGGTGATGCGGTAGAGTCTCCCTCTATTTCAGGCAAGTTAAGCAACGGCGAGCCTGTTTAACCCTTGGATGGGTGACCGCTTCACGTTACAAAATTGGTGGCAGCGTAGTGACTCTGGGTGTCTGGTGTCCTGCTTCAGGAAGTCTTAGAGCTAGGACTTAGCGTTCATTTACAGACTTTGTGTAAACCGTGGACGGCAGGGGTTGCCGTATCTGAAGTCAAGTTCCGACCTACTTCAGGAAGCTCTAAGACTAGGACTTTGTGTCCAAGTACGGACTTCGTGTCCGGAACGGCATTGGTTGCTGTAGCTGAAGAGGCCCAGATACTCAGAGAGATCTCCTGCTAAGCTTCGGGTCGAAACTTCGCTGAGCGGGGGAAGTGTAGCGGACAGTATATAGGGAACTTATACTGCCTCGCCAGTGAGCTATTTTTTCTGGTGATGTGGTAATGTCTCCCTCTATTTCAGGCAAGTTCAGCAACGGCGAGCCTGTTTAACCCTTGGATGGGTGACCGCTTCACGTTACACCAGACACAGGACAGTACTTGATAGGGAACAGCCTAACTAAACACTGATAATAAAATCCGTAACCATGCATACTATTGTTTAAGAGTTGACTTCTAGATTGGTTCAAAAGTTGAAATACGTTTGAGTGGACTTGGTTATCAGTCGGTCAGGTTATATATGTACCAAATCGTTGTAAGTGTGAAACTCTTCTGCTCGTGGCTACTTGATCAAAAAATTTCCTAATCTTTATCCTGATGCCTCAATCTTTATTGTGACGTCATATGACATTGTAAGTGAACATGGGTTTCTAAATTCCATCCCAATTGAAAATGAACAATTTACATTCATTCAACAGTGTTTCTTACAATGCGACTGGGTATCATGATCAAAGTAAAATATCTTACTTTGCTTTATTTGCAAATGGTCAATATTTTAAATGAGCTACAAAATATTAATTATCGAGCTACAAAATATTCTTTCTCATTTGACCACGGTCAGAATGGGAGAAGGTTGTACATTTTGGCTGTGGTTGCAACAATGGGTTATGTATAATTTGACTTGATACTTTGTGGATTAACTACAGAATACTGAATCTGCAGATTCTAAATTAAAAAAAAATTCATTTATTTTTTATTCAATTGTAAAACTTGACCTTTAAAATCACATGAGTTTAACATGTTGAAATGCCTTAATCGCTCAGAATTTTGAGTTTTTAATTTTTTGTAAAACTAAATCTGTTTCACATAATCTTTACCATTTTCATATAATCTTATTTAAAAAAAGAACATTGTTTACATACCCTCTGAGTGGTTGTAGTGACTGTACTGATGATCTATTGGTTCCTTGGATTACGACTTAAAATTCCATTTAGGCTAAAGCATATTTTCGCTAAAATATTCACAGGACACGCAATAAATGTTCATCTGGATTTGACATAAACTTCATCATGTTCATTGTCCATCACGTTTCCATGCTTACACGTTGCACACACTAGGGCTATTCCACCTACTGAAATCGCATCACAAAAAGGATAAATCATCGCATTTTAGCTGCAATCAATATCGAATAACTATGTTACGATAACTTCGCAAGATGAAGATTTACTTCCAACTTCCACTATGTCGCCATTTTGTTTCTTTACGATTACAATACGACAAAACGAAATTCGTTAAAAATCGCTAATTTTTTCGGTAAAAAGTGAAAACAGATAAAGGAAAGTCATTTAATACAAATTACAAATAAAAATTATCCCAAAAATTATTTTTAATGGCTTAGAATAGCGATGCTGTTTTTGAATTATCCACTTCCGGCAGGATAATCCTACTTCCGGTAGCATTACTAACATTGACCTAGTTTCAAACCAGCATCAGGATAAGGATCAAACCAGGATCAGGATAAGGATAACTAGCATCAAAATCAGCAAGCAAAGGAAGCATTAAAATAAGCAAGCATAGGAAGCACCAAAATCAGCATTGATGCTGTAACAAAATTATTTCCCTGCACTGTAATACACGCAATATTGTCCACACATGTCGGTTTTCCAGTCTTGATAGCGATAGGGATTATAAATCCATTGCTGAGCATGACGCTGGATAAAATCTTGAATTTCTTTGTGTAAGGGAGGAAATCCATAAGAATCGAAATATTCCACCACGGGATTGCTCACATATAGACACACCCAATGTTCTCCAGGTCGATCTTGAGGATCCGTATTGACCACGACAGCTTTTCCTCCAGGTCTTAATTGATCCGGTAATAAATCTACAGGATACACGCCTCCAAAAGAACTCTTGAATTCTCTGGATAAGACTTCTCTCAATTGTCCCGTATCCATTTTTAGTAATCAATGCTCACTTCTCTCTGTTTGTTAATTTCTAATAGGTTATCGAATTCTGCATACACCACACAATTGATGGTGGTAGCCGTATTGTTGGTAAACTGCACTTCTACTCTCAGATTTCCTGTTTCTATGATGTGGAATTTATCCGATTGCGCCTCTTGATTTTTAGTGAAATCCCAGCCCCATAGAGTGTAGCCGCTTTTATACTCTTCTAAGGTAATGTCTGGAGCCCAGTCTTCTCCTAATTTTCCCAGAGCTTGATACAGACTGAGATATGATCTCAGATGTAAATCCTCGTTGAAATTAGGCTCAAAGCAACGAGTACTCATGGTCTCTCCGTTGATACTGACGTCTAATTTCTTGATCCCAAAGTTTTGGAAATGAAAGGGATTTTTAGTTTTATCTCCGTTAAAGGCCGCATTCTCCACAAAGCCTAAAATGAGACGTTTAGGCATCTGGCCTTGAAACAGATGATCTGTAATCTTAGACTGAGTTCCTGAGCCAATGGTAAAGGTTTTCACTTCCACTCTTCTCAAGGGATATTTGGCTCTGTGGGTATTCAAACTCTGATTAATGGTATTCATCATGACTGCTGTGGGTTTGACTTTTCTCACCCACAAGATCATACTCAACATTTTCACTTTTCCTGTACTTCCTCCTTTGATCATCATGTAGAAGAGGGTCTAGCTCGATTAAATCGCAAACGGACGTCCACTCCATTAGGTAGAAATCGATCTTGTTGAAACAAATCCAAATGTAAAGTATCCAGCAAACTGATTTTCTTACTGTCAGCAATAGCTTGGTGACTTTTTCTGAATCCTTCGTTTTTAGAATTGGCCGGGTACTCTGTAAGGATGGGTTCATTAATGGTCACTGTATCTTTACTTGAACCTTTAGTTACATCAAAGGTTTTATTTTGAGCTACACCAAGGTCCTCTATTCCCACTTCGTCCATGTGTCCTGCTGTATCTTTTTCCCACAGACTACAGGCCCTCGTCTGTGTCTTTAAAGTTCTGGGTCGGTAAGACAATAATTTCTCCAGATAAGCTTTGTAAGGATAGGTATCCGTCCCTGGAGTCACTATTTTTCCATTCAGACTGACATCGATTTCCGTAAACATGGAATGTAAGATATTATTCACTGGACTGGAAGTGCTGTTCGCCCCAGTCAGATTACTTCCATCGTCTTTGGTAAATTTACATACCATTTGAAGATAAGTTTGAGATAAATCCAGATAGTGATCTCCTTGTCCTTTAATTTCAAATTCGATGGGAGCGGTGTCGGAATCTAAAGTACTGGAAATGGGGTAATATTCTTCCCATTTCGAGTCTTCTAAAGCAATATTAGTCGGAGGGACTTGAAACAATTGTAAATTGTTCATCCCACACCCACAGGAATCGGGCTGTAACATGATGTGTCTACTAGGATTCAGTTTTCACAAATGAACCTTCTGTTCCCTGGACTGTCCTATTTATACTCTCTCTCTCTCTCAGTCAAACACATCTAAAGGACGTTTTCTTTTAGGAATTCCTCCTTGTTTTTTCCTTTTTCTCTTAGGACCCCCTCGGGCTAACAGGACTCTTCCTCTCCCTGTCTGCTTTCTTCTTTTTCTTCTTCTTCTTCCTTGACCTGTTTGTCCTTTCTTCTTCTTCTTCTTTCTAAAGGGTAAAGAGACTCCTCGATTGAAAGCAAATAGACCTGTATTTTTGGCCGCATTGAGTCCGTGGGTTAAAAGAGCATTTCGTATGTTTTTTCTTTTTCCCACCACATCCCTGCCTATCTTCACTCCGGCCATGATGGCTTGTTTTTTCCCAGGTTGGAGTAAATCTTTGACAAATCCTCGACCTTTTTGTGCCCCCATGGCTAACTGGGCCGCGTCGTTGAGAGTCAAACCTGAGTCTATGCCCGGTATGCGTAAGTTAGGGACCGCTCCCGAGAGGAAGTTTAAAAAATTTCCTCCTTTTTGAGGTTTCATGTGAGTTTTTAAAATCCTACCCAATTTGAGTAATTGTGTAGCAGGAAGTAGGGGTGAAAAATTTGTAGAATCCAAGGGAAGGGCTCCCACCAATCCAGAGATGATAGAACCTACTGCTCCGCCTTTTTGACGTAATAAACCTTTATGATAAGTCCAACCGTGTCCTCTTTGTCTCAGTAATCCGGGATGATACTGCATGGTTCATGTCTCTTGTTCAACTGACCTTTATATCCTCTGGGGACTTCCTTTTATACCTTTACGGCTGAATACAATACAGACAACAGACCAGGCAAGCCATCACGCCCAATAAGATGGAACACAATAAGGGTACATTCATCTCAGTATACTTTTCTGAAATGAAGTTTCACCACTGATTTACCACTTACAAAGGGCATGGGAGTCCCTAAAGGAGTCATGATGTGAATCTCAATGGTATCGAAATGTTTTTTACTTAGTTTCAAATATTCCGCTCGAATGGGTTCCCATTTGGCTTGTTTTGAATCCTCCAAATGAAATGTACAAGGCACCACTCTTAATAATTTCAAGGCATTGGATCCTACCGTCTGGGGTTGAATCAAGTCACAATAGACATACATGGATTTCAGATTTTCATATAAATCCACAGTATTGTTTCCCAAGTAACTAATGTTGATCCATTTGGTCATGTTTTCTGTATCGTTCTGAAGAATGACATTCTGACTGTCCATGCCTAGCTTATAAGCTAGGGATGTGGGGAAACGAATGCATAAGGGACTAAGCATTTTTGCATTAATTTGATACATCACTCGATCATAGGTCTCGTAATATACTAATTTCATAGATTTTTCTTCATCTCCATCACCAAGGGTTTTCCATATTTTTTTCAATGATCTCTCTAGTCCTAGACTTATTTCCTCTGTTAAAGCCTTGGGGTGAACATAGGGCCCGGGTCTGAAGTGAATTCGTCTAATTTCCATCTTGCTATCTAGTTCAATGAGTTGAGGCCGTTTAGTATGGGCCCAATCGAGCAGTACAGGACATTGACGTAATGGCATTGGGTCTAAGGTTTTCATTTTAAATCTGCCATAAACATTGGGGTTTTTGATATGGCGAGCATAAGACTGAGGAACCAGGATGTCAAAATAAGCCTCCTTTTCTGTAATGTTTTTCAATGAATTGGGATACATCATTTCTGTTAAAGCCACTTCCCATTCTCCGTCGGTTAAATCTAGGGATTGTGGTAATAAGGTTTTAAATTGAGCAGTCGTATTGCTAGAAAAAGAGGCCATAGACCCATCACTGGGTAAAGTCATGTAAAACCCACTGCTCTCGCCCATGTTCAATCTAAGACTGAGACTCTAGACCTTAGGACCTTTGTATTTATAACAACACTTTTTTTAAAAATTCAAAATTTATTCAATGATTTACACATCTATTTCTTCTTCTTCGTCTTCTGATGATCGGTCCTCAATCACTCGAGTCAACAAATGTCCTTTCTTTTCCACCGAGTCTTTAATCTGGGAAAAGGGGATGTGACAATACAAGTACTCTGTAGGAGAATAATGAGGTGGAAACATCAGTCCTTTTTTCTCCATCTTGAAATAATATTTCAGACAATCTCCAATGTCCGAGTACCATGAACTTTTTCATTCTGAATGGTGTTGATGGGTGTCAGTCGATTCCTTTGAGTACAAGTAACCCATTTGAATTGCTGATAATGTTGGTTGATTTTCACCCTCACTCTAGATCCTGTTAGAGGATAGGGAATTTTCATTCTTTTTTCCAACCACACATTGTCCAGGTAATAGCCTGGATGATTTTCAAAGAAATCCATGATGGCTCCTATTTTACTTTTCATCCACCCTCCTTGCATGTACATACACTGACTAATGGGACTCTCACAATACCAACGATACTGCATCTTTGGGAAAAACAAAAAACACGTCTGACTTGTTCAGTGTCCTTTTTCAGAATGAGAGAGGGTTTGTGATATACCTCTTGATAAAACCTTTCATCTATTTTATTTTATTTTTTTTTTATTTAAAAAAAAAAACAAACAAACAAAACAAAAAGAATTTTAAAAAGTTTTTATTCAAGTAAAAAATACAAAAAAAAAATGATTTTATTGTCCTTCATATCGACATAAGGGGCATTTCTTGTAGGAAGTCTCAAAGAGTTTCTTCACACACTTTTCACAACACGGATATTGCCGGCATTGTCCGCATTTCCATTTTCCTCGAGTCTTTTCCTGGTAGCACATCATACATTCTTTCAAAGGTCTGTTCCTGGTCATTTTCACCCATCGGGGAGGCGGTATGTTCTCAATTCCTTTCTTCCAGATGAAATATTTCAGGCACCAGCTACAACCACAAGTCTCCATGGAAGGGGGGTCGTCTACCATCCAGTGTGGCATAGGTTCTCTACATTTACTACATCTCCAGTACCAAGCAACAACTTCTCCCGCATCGTTGTAGCTGACGTATTTATTTACCTCTGTCGTCTTCTCATTGCAGTGATAACATATTGCCTTTCCTACATCAATCCAATAGATCAATCTCCACACAAAAGGCATGATGGCTAAATAATGAGGGCAGGGTACTCCCAGCTCCGCTTTATATACCTGCTGTGAGCCGTGTGCACCTTTGACCTACCTTTTTATACCTGTAAGGACCGTGTGCAAAAAATTAGGGGGCGTGTGCATCAATACGATAGACCTACGTTTTTTATGCTGACTACATAGGTAAATACTTGGCAGCGATTCAAATCCGTGATTGTGACGTCATCATGACAAAGCTAGTGTATATAGAGCGCTCTGTTGTGTGTATATAGAGCGTTTAGTTGTGTGTATATAGGGAAAAATAACTAACAACACTAGAATTTGTGTGTTTTTCTTTTATTTTTATTCATAACAACAACAACAACAATAACAAGAACATCATAATAACAAACATTCAAAACTTCTGTTCAGTTCTTTTTGTATGGGGAACGATCCCCTCATGTACAAATAGTCTGCTTCACAAGCACAGTCCATGATATGGTATCCTTTTACGACCACTTCTATCAAATAGTCTTCTATACAATCTCTGGCTTTTTTCATCCATTTCCCATGAATCCAAGTCTTCTCGGGTCCCTGTCTTCGGTGAGCCAAGACATAATTGACTTTCCATTTGAATTCTCCATATTTAGGTGATCTGGGTCCTAATAAGACCATGTGTTTGCTTCTTTTGCGGTCCGGTAACTTGAATCTCTTATACAGGTAGATTTCATTGAGACCTGTTTGTCCTGGATTCTTATCAAAGAAATCTTGAATACATGTCTCTTTGTTTTTCATCCATTCTCCTTTGTGACTAGTCCCTTCAGGTTCTACTATTTTCCAACGATACTCTGAGCTTAAAAAATCCATGAGGTGTGCTCTGTCCCTCACTCAGATCAGAAATGATCTTCTTAGGGTTATGGTGTCTCCTTTTTATATAGAGGGGTGTATCTATTTTTAGATTCCGGGATTAACTGGGTGAATTGGTCTTTTTGGTGGTAGGGGTATGATGCATCATGGTAGGACTAGGCATGATGTAACCCACCGAAGAACTCACACAGACCATCCAATATTCTCGAATAGAATCGTGTAAAGCTAACATGACCACACTCGTGATGATGAGGGAAATACAAATGAATAATTGTGCAAAATACACAATTTCTTCTCGAGGAATATTCTCT